ATCATAGCTGAGCTGGAGAAGTCTCTTAACTGAAAGTGCTCCTGTGTTTGACCAGTGGCCACAACAGACTTGCAACATCTTGCTGCACAAGAACCTGAACTTCTTCAGAAAGTAGAGTCTGCTCTGTCCCTCCCTGTACACAGTCTCTCTGTGTTGCATTTCCAGTCTTTTGAGGAGATGATAAAATTTAGATTTTGGGTTTGATTTTTGGCCTGCGGGAATCTGATCCCATTCAGCCACAAGAGCATCAGTGAAGTCGGCCACTGATATTGGGCAGTACAACCTGGACTGCAGTCAGCAGATTGGATGGGATTGCAGTCAGGGCTCTGGACAGGCTGGTGAAGTTATTTCAACCAAACAAAGAGCCTTCCCCAATCTGTAGCATTAAGATTTTCCTCAGTTGATAGTGGGTCAAGCTGAAATCTTGAAAACAGACACAAAGAAACTCCTGTCCAGATACTTTTGGCCATATATTTTATATTATACTGTACATACATTCTCATACAAGTTTCCATCTCTCTTTCAGAAACTCGAAGTTGTGCTTGCTCACTGAGCACAGCTTCACCCCCAGCCCTCTTCATCCTCATCCTCCTCCTGTTCACTACCTGACTTCCTCGTCCATCCTCGCCAATGACCCCATTTCTCCGTGGAATCGGGAGTTATTACTCAGACATTCACGTACACAGTGTGATCTACACTCGAGACAGTGAATGACACAATGCAATCTATGCTAAGCTATTGCTGATGACAACACATTACCTTGTGGCTGTTTTACCAGTGAAATTCCAGAAAGAATCATAGTGTCTTCTCCAAAATGGGGCCACAGTGACTCAGGGATTAACATGCTGAATCACAGTGATTCATTTCTGGTTATTTTCTTCTCCCACCTGTTGTGTAAGTGGGAATGCAGAATATTACAGCTCTGGGCTTAGTCATAAGACTTGTACCCTACTCTTCTTCTGGCACAAGAACAATGAGTCTGAGTGGACTTGTTCCAGCAAAATTCTCTCACTTTTTCACCTCAGTTTATCATCCCGTTTCTTGTTTTCTACTTACTGTGTTGCATTTACTTCTTTTTCAGAGCCTGCCTCCAGTTGAAAAGTGGCCAAATAAATATACTACTGCAATGAGTGACTCAGGTTGGAGGTCAATCAGTTAGCTGTTTTCTTTCTGTCTGATATGCTGTGTATGGGCTGTCAGCCGCCTCATTTGCATCAGAGTATGAAATGTGTTAAACTTTTATAACTAATTAGATTTAAAGGCATTTTAGGAGAATATGAAGAATATACTGGGATATTCAGGCAGGGCTGCTGCGCCCCCTACTGGGATTAAACTGGTTTAACTGGAATCAGACTGGTTTGGCCATAAACCCAGAAACTGGACACTAGATTCCGGTGGTGCATGGTCATAATGGGAACTAGGACAGTTTGTCTTCTCTGGCTGTACCCCATGCTGTTCTGATCCACCATCCCTCGCTTTGCTTCAAAATAAAACCCAAAACAGAGGGGTTTATGGGTAAACGGAGAGCATCATCTCATCTTTCTTCACTGAACACACTGTGGACAAGTGCATAGAATTATTAACTGGTGGTCCTGTTCACCTACCACGTGTGCTGATGTGCACACAAGTTGTTTTTTTTTTAATGCTTTTTTATTTTTATTTTTTTTACACAGGATCCTTGATTTTAGGTCTTACTGTATAGTTAATATATTCTGCACAGTGAGATATATTAACTATATAATCAATGTCTTGGTAAGAATATTGCTATTCTTAATATTTAAGTGCAAAGTCTGACAAAAATTAATTTTTTGATTAACAATGATTTGCTGGGTACATAGGGATTTTCTGGTTTATTTTTAATAATCTCTGCTACAGTATAGTTTCTCAAGTTAAAGTATTTGAATGTGGAAATTATTTCACTTTTTGTGCCAAATTATTTTTAAAGAAATAACTTAAGAAAAATCACATTGAATTTAACATTTTCATGATTTTTTTTTATATTGAAATTGGAGATAATATAGGTGTGTATTTTTCATTGAAATTAAAATTTATATATTTATAAAGTTACATTATTATTTCCCTAGAATATCTGAGTGACTTAAGTTCACAATATCAATAGATTAATTGTACTGTTTATTCTTAAAGAAATAAAAACTGCATTGTTGGCACTTAATATATTTTTGTCATTATGCTTGGGTATCAGAATGCTATAAATCACACCAGTTATGCTATTGTTTTTTTTTTAATGATAATTTCCTTTATTGTTTGATTTGTGTAGTCATTTCAGTGATATAGAATTCTGCATTCTTGTACTTTGTTTTTGATTTCACTGTGTGTACCGAGTTCTGCTTTCACATTTTAGTGAAGAATGTAGCTTCTTCTGTGAAGAGCCAACTGCAATCTGAGCCTTTTTTTTTAACGTGGCATGACAACAAAATAAATATGATTGCATTAAATTGTTTCCATTGACATTTTATGTAACCGCAGGTCTCAGTTACAACACACCCACATACATACATAACTTTATTTGTGGAACGCTCGCATCAGGTGTAATACACAGGAGTATGGTGATAGGGAGACTTTGGGGACTTGAAATGACCTTGTGGTGTAAGAGGCCATTGTAATGTGAGTAAACTAGTGGAATATTGAGCTGAGTTTTTATCTATGGGCAGTCAAAGCCTGATAAGACTCGTATACCCAATAGAGTCCTGGTATTAATAGCCCCTTAAGCATCATTGCCAATACATCGACCTTAAAGAAGTCACTTTATTTTCACTAAACGCAGGACTGAGGTTGAATACAGAGCAAGAGAAGATGTTTTGGTTTTGTGTCTTAAATATAGATTTGTACATCCAAATAAGCTGTTAATGCATTTCCATTTATATAGGCTGTAATGTAGAGCATCTAGTGAAGCCAGAAAGGCAATTTCCTGGATAACAGAACTAATGCTGCTATTTCATGGTTTATGATCTCTTCTGATGGCGTTTGTCACTGTTGAGGCATGTTGTTATGAACCGGCTTTGATGTTGACCTTGACTTACAAATTTTCAAAGCCCATGTTTTCATTCTTCTTCCATTGTGAATGACGAAGTAAGCGCACTGAAATCAGCAGAAAGAGAGGGACACTTTAATGGTTTAAAAGGAAAAAGGACTAAAGCAGTAGCAGTCCATATCTTGAGTGTGTTTTTAAAAACTGTATGGCTGTGTGTTTTATGTAGATTAAAGCCTTTATGTAACGTTGCAATCATTTATTTTTACCTTTGATTTATTACAGAAAATGCTTGAACAGTTATAGCAATTTTTAAAACTATTTCTTTGTAGTCAACAGTGTTGATGTCTGTTGCTGAAATGAGGCTGGAACTGAACTCACCCTCCAAAATAAACATAATTATGAACAGATGTTGCCAGATTGTATAAATGTAGAAAATCGTGAAATTCCCACGCCAGAGATTCTTCAGAGGATTTCTGGGGCGACTGTGATAATAAACTATTTCTGGCATGACAAATTTAGTTTTTAACTATCTGTCTGACAAAAATATGCCATATTGCATAGCCAAGCTGTAGCTCTCTTCTCCACAAATGACACTGAATCAGATTTCAACATAGCAAGGTCCTTTGTCACAAGTTGGTCTTATGTTTAATTGCACCTCGGCTGAATATTTAAGGCTCGGATTGCCGGTGTCGATTACATCTTCAGAAATATAAAACACTGGCTATTAAAAGAAACCATGTTTATTTCCTTGTGGAATTTCCATCCTCTGGATAACAATTCCCATTCTTTTTAAATGTATTCTGCAACTTTATGGTTTCATTTTATTTAAGGACAATTTTAAATGGCACATTTATAATCAGCATAGTCACCCTAAGATTTGTAGTTTAAAAAAAAATGTAATGATGCATTTTATTTGTCAAGAGCAAACAAATTTTGATGTAGTGTCAAGTCACTGTGGGTAACATGTTTCTCTTTTCTTTGTAGTGTTCGGCAGAGAGTAGACATCATGGACACGTGCCTCATAAACCTTTCCTTAGATTTTGGGAGGATGTTTTGTCGCTCAGTGTGCAATCAACACCTTCATCAGCGGTGACATCCTTGTCGTGAAATCAATAATATGCACTTCATCTTTCCCAGGCAGTGAAGTGATACGAAGCCAAGCTGGCTATCTTTGGGCATCCTGTCCTTAGACACCTTCATTTTAACAAAAGGTAGGTTGGGTTTTGAAGAATACAATGCAGTCAGTACTAAAACTGTACTGTAAATCTTTTATTTTAGATCAGCTTGTTCTGGCTAAGATGCTGTATTTGAAAGTACTGACAGGAACTAGCCAGAGAGATCATATCTCTCCCATTGGCTCCCTGTAAAATCCAGAATAGAATTTAAAATCCTCGTAACATACAAAGCCCTTAATGACAAGGCTCCATCGTATCTTAAAGGCCTCGTACAGCCTTATCATCCCAACAGAAGACTTTGCTATCAGAGTGCAGGTTTACTTGTGGTTCCTAGATGTAGAATGGGAGGCAGAGTCTTGAGCTATCAAGCTCCTCTCCTATGAAACCAACTCCCAGTCTCAGTTCAAGTAGCAGACACCTTCTCTACCTTTAGTATTAGACTTAAAACCTCCTTTTTGACAAACCTTGGGCTGGCTCAGGTGACCCTGAGCCTTCCCTTAGTCATGCTGCTATAGGCCATAATTTAATGTAATTCTGACAGTGAAATCAAAGTACTATTTTAAAGGTTTTTGCTGAGATCTAGAAATGTAATTGAAAGTCACCAAAACTTAGGTTCCACTGATCTTTTCAGCTCATTAATCTAATTTATAGTTGTCAATTCTGCCTAAAACTGTCTACTTCCCAAAACCTCTTTGCATCCAGCAATGGGACCAAATCACAGTTTGAAATCCTCTGTCCTCTCAATTTGAGACCTGGATGTAAAACATTACATCTTCTGGCATCGAGAAGCAGAAGCTTTGTGAACAGGAAAAGTGGTTTGCTGTTGGATGCACACATCTGTAAACAACACTGAGTGTTATGTACTCCTCAAGGTAACAACTCAGTTGTGTGTGTGGTATTATATAGTCCTGCAAATGAGCTCTTAACAAGATCGGGATCAAGGACTAAAGTCTCCACTGACCCAAATGTTGGTTGACATCTCTTGCACATTTTGCATTCACTTTTTCAGTGCTTTATAATGAGTGCCACTTTCGGCTGTTCCTGTTAGGGGTCACCACATTTGACACACAGTTGACATTTGGCACGTGTTTTACACCAGATGCCCTTGCTGATGCAACCCTGACTCGAACCCGGGCCGCAGTGGCAAGAGCACTGAATCCTAGCCACTAGTCTATCAGGGACCAACTTTTTCAATGCTTTATAATCAAATATATTTCAAAGGGTGATTAACTGACCCATTATGCAGTGGAGAGTAAAAAATGAACATGCTAAATCTGGGATATGCCCTATACATGTCTTTTGTATTTTGACAGGTTTCATGTCACTTGTGTTCACAGTGACAAAAATAGAAGCATTTTCAAAGGCCCTTGGAGCCAGAAAGTAGCTATAGCACACTTTGTCTGACATACTGTATATTCAGAACTAAACCAAAATTATAGAAAATATTGCCTTGTATAATGGAGAGGTTAATTTTGTCTATAGTAACATAACTGAGGTTTGCACAGTCAGTGCACAGGTGCACTAATCCTAATGCTTTAAAGCTGAATTAGTGTAATTATTGAATAATTGAGTATTTCAGGATTGCTATGAGATTTAACAAGGTAGCCTAAAACTTCCCAAAATTACAGATTCACTGTACTGTATAAGTGTGATGATTTACTACATCATTTCTAATAAGACTTTTGTAAAACACATGGCTCCTAACCAGGTTTCACGTGTTGCGCAGTGGGTTTTTTTGTGTGTTAGACTTGGGGCTGTGAAAGTCTCTGAGGATTATCATTGAATAATTTTGTAGCCTTGATGAATTGGTGTGCTATTTAATGTTCAGGATCTGAATAATAGTCATGGATCTTTGGGTGTAAGCAGAGTTTGTTTGTTCTAAATAAAGTCTAAACTAACCGGGTCTGCTGATATTGTACACTTTTTCACATCCTTAACACACGTCAGGTAGCCAATAACAGTGTAATTATTTCTGCTGTAGGTTCACAAAGCAAGCGCTTCCAGTGTGTCATGCAAATAGTGATAAATGTGGATGGACCAGATTATGACAAAGAAGGAAAATAAATCACAAATTAGCAGCTTAGCTCAAAGAAGAACACTTGTCGACAGCTAAATCAGCTAACATGCCAACCTCTTGAAAGAGTAGGATATTAATACACGTATCATTCGTACAGTACATGAGAGCAACCCTTGGGGAAGAAATTGCAAATACTAACTTTTGATACTGAAAAGATTAACAAGATGAATAAACATAAACAACTATTATTTTCCTGCTTAATTCTTATATTTTACCTGGATTTGTACACCACATTGGTCTCAGAAAAGTCATGGAAAAGCTTTCTCTATGTATAAAATTCAGTCCTAATTTATAAAAATAGTTTTAACCATCCTTCAGCTTTTTAACACCATGTTTATGTTATGACTGTAGGATGCAAATGAGTTCTAGTCAAGTTGAATTGAGCTCAGTTTTTCTGCACACATGCTGGTAAAAGCTTCATAGGCCGTGACCCCTTACATTAAAGTGAGCCTGCTGTGTGAAAGGCATTTCTGAATGCATCCCGTGTGTACAGCTCCAAGCGGGGGGTCTTGGTTCTGCATACTGGACTGTGAGCTGTGACAAACTTAGGATTACGAGACTGGCTTTTATTTGAACACACTCAAACCATACACATACAAGTAAAGTCAGTCACCCTTTGCGTGGCAGCAGGCAAAGCAGCATCCTTCCTCAGTCTCCCTCCCTCTTCCTCCTTTTGCTTTCGTTCTCTATTACTTCTGTCCACTTTTAATGTGTGACACTTTGATACTGAACATCCTATTTCCCGTGTTCTGGTTGGTTGGCTCTACATGCAGATGGGTTGGTAATTTGCATAGACTCAAAGGTCTTCCTTTTCTCCTGATGCTTTCTGACAAAGGAGTGTCTATTCATCCTCTGTGGTAACCATCCCTCCTAGAACATCGCCTGAATTGCAAGTCTCAAGTCTCGTTTTACACTGCAGGAACTATTGACAAATTGGATTAGCAAATTATTCCTTTAGAGAAAAGCATCACAGTCACCAAGGCAGGCTCACATCTGTGCAACTGAAATAGATAGCTCACTCCTATATCACATGTTTTTGTACAAAGTCATGTCAAGTGTGATCTTAAGTCATGCTGAGTTCATATCACACACACCATTAGCTCAGTAGATTCTGTTATAACCAAGAGTACCAACTGCGAGAGTTGGAGAGAAATGCTGGAGTGTACTAAAAGAACAGCAAGGAATTATGGGCCTAATACACAGGAGGTAACTCTGATCACCCCATACCTTCTTATCCTCACATCACCTTAAGTGACTGCTCTGATCATACTTCCATTATATGACCCAAAATCTGTCTTTAGAGAAACAATTATGTCTTAATATGCACAGGAAAAAAATCACCACTTTTTATTCCTGCTTGTTCCACTTTGTCTCACATGACACAAAAGTTGCTGTATCAGATTTGGGTGAATGTTTTGCTGGACGTTTTGTAGATTTCAAACAAACCCAGTTTCAAAAGTAAAAAGTGTGAAATGAAAAAAAAAAAGATATTCGTAAATATGGAGTTGACAAACAAAAGTATTTTAGTCCACACTATCCTCCCCAAAACTTAAACCTGCAGGTCAAAATCAAAACATCAATTTAAGATTCATAAGAAGAACTGAACAAAATGGGAAATACAGTGACAGAAGTTCTGTGGTGAGTAAATGAAGCCAAAACAGACATGAAAGATGAAACAGGCTGATGAGAATGATGGCGTGACCACGCATGAAGATGAAACTGTCTAATACAGAACGAAAAGGACTTATGTTTGAACCTTAGAGAGGGTTCAAACGAATGTCAAAATTATTTAGTGTCCCTGACAGCAAATGCAGTGGTGGAGGAAGTAATCAGAGTGTTTGTTTAAATAAAATATCAGTACAACTCTAAAAATACTTCACTACAAGTATTCAAAACCTTAAGGTCAAGAATAAAAAAGTAAAAGTGCTTGTTAGGCATAAAAATGGTCCTTGTGACTGGTATATTACTATAAAACCACAATATTAGATTGGTAATACTCGTGCATCAAAGAATAAGCAGCATTTTATTATAGCTTGTCAAGTTGGAGCTACTTATTACTACTCTATATATAGGTCTGGTGGTTCTCAATAGGGGCCAAGCACCCTCCAAATGTCACAAGATAAATCTGGGCAGTCCTGAGATGATTAATAAGGTAGGGCAGAACAAAAGTTCTGCTACCCAAATCTGTTTTCTTTCTTTTTTTAAACTTTATTACTGAAAAATGTTGTATGGTTTTCTCTCTTTGGGGCTCAATTATTTAAATGAAACCGTTTGAGAAGTTTGGGGAAACTGCTAACAACTCATTTAAAACATGACAAGCCACCCCACTGCTTTTTGTTAGTCTCAAGCCAAAAAAGGTTCAGAAACACTGGTTTAATCTTTAACAGTGTATTTCAAATGTGCTTATGAGTTTATTGTATTTATTTAATTGAAATGTAACAATTGTCATAAAGGGCTATCCCTCTGAAAATGTAGGTAGTGGGATAGATGTATAATATAAAATAACCAAGGAAAGTACAAGGATGTGCAGGACTGGAGTAAAGGTACAACCTGATTTACTGCAGTGACAGGGAAAAAGACCAGCAAAACATGCTGCAGGTGGGTATATTAACATTTCAACACTACAGACACTTGAAAATAAAGTTAAACCTCCTTAAAAAAACTAAAAGAAACTGAACAAAATTGCCTGAGTTTATTCATTTAAAACTATTTAAAACGTCCACTAAAAACTGCCATAGTTTATGTACATGAGGGAGCATAACTCAGACATGCTGTTAGCCTGCAGTATTGGTTTTTCCCACACAATCCAAGACAATGCCCCGGTGCATTCATCCCAAAAACACACCATTACATAGCTGTCGTGATCATGAAGCCTTTGTTCATTGCCTCTTTTTTATTATTAATAAATCAAGTAAGCCGTGAAGTTATAGGTTTTAGGGGGAGGCCGGGCTGGAGGTGGTAATTGCTGGTGTATCAGCGTGTGCAGCCCCGCGGTGGCCTCGTAAGCGACGCGCTTTATTAAATCGGCCGGTATCGACCCTCGCTGCGCGGGCGCGCACTAATCTCAAGGCGTGGAGCGAGCGAGAGAGAGCGGATCGATGAGCCTTGATTCAATGATGTCTGGAAACAGAGAAGGTAATTTATTGTAATCACTGGTGCTAAATGGAAAACGTGAGAACAACGCGCCCGTGAGGTGCACAAACTGAACTACAGCATGTGGAGGTGTCCTGGTGAAAACGGGCCAAGGAGACGCTGGGTTAACGCGTTGGAGTCCGCAATTATGGATATTCAGTACGAAACAGATGAGTCAGTATGAGCCTGGTGGTTGACCTTCACCGGTCTGCCCATGCTGCTCCACACTGGGTTCCTAAAACCTGATTTTCTCACCTTAACAGAAAACCCCTCCATAGTTTACTAATACATTTTGATAGAGGCTCTATTTCTGGGCAGAATGTTCTGACTGGGTTTAGAAAAATGACTAATAGATCCACGGTTAAGATAAATCAAGAACTGAAAGCCCAGCAGAACGGAGTCACAATTTGTATGCCAGACTCCTCTTAAAATAGGAACATGACAAGAGAAAAAGATGACACAGACCGATGTTTTATTCAATAGCAGCGAGCCACTACTTTAGACTCAAAAGTACCGTGACCACCAGTAGCACACATACGGACACCCTTCACCGTCTCATTCTACAAATAGACATGTTGAGTCTTTTGGAACTACTCACAAGGTGAACAAAAACAGTACATGTTAAGTTTTCTACATGTGTGCAGGTGCAGATCTGAGATCTGCATCAGCAGAAGGTGACACAGAAAGAAGTGAGGCTACATCAGGCACGAGAGTTTCGCTCCTCTTCTTCATTCTCCAGGAGGTAGGCCGGCTTGTATCGTGTCACCCCTCTCTCATCCACCATCCGCAGGGCCGGGTTTTGACAAGTGTTGTCCATACTGCCCAGGGAAGTGTACCTGCACGTTGAAAGAGACGTTTAAGTCAGAACATTCTGCAATGTAAACATGAAATGCATGAAGAGGGAATAGATGTGTTCTTACCCTTTATCATAAAGAATACAGTAGGGCACATACAGCGTCCTCAAGAATGACCAGATGTCATGATATGTCCAGTCCTGCAGAGCATTGGAAGACATCAAATTTAACTGGTTTGTGATTGACTCGTGATTAGCTCAGGATAACTCATCTCTGTGGAGTCCTCTGACATAGAATCATGTCTGGAACAGATTAGCTCAGGATAACTCATCTCTGTGGAGATGGAATCATGTCTGGAACAGAGGTCACTCAGACTAAGCAGATGAGTGACAATATTAGAGGTTGCTAACTAGAAATATGCACTTCAGCACAACAAACCTGCAATAACCTCTAATATGTAGAGGTTTTAATGTTTCATATATGCTGAGAATACGTCTTATTGTGCTTTCTGAGACCAGTTTCTATTGCATTATATTGTACAGAGGTACCATTGGTATCAGTGACGTGCGGTGAGGTTGATAGCTGGTGAGGCACCGACTCTTTTACAGTCAGATTTACAAATACACATTGTCTGTTAACAGACAATGCGTTATGTTTTATATCTCATATCAGCATTCTTCACACAAACGTGACGCATATTTAATTTGAGGTTAAAGTTTATTCCAATTGAGCTTATTTCTAACTAGAAATAATAAAAGTTTATGGTCTTACCTTTACTTGTACACGAAATCCATTTGTCAGCTGGTATGTATTACAAACCCTTTTACCGTTCGAATCCAATATTAAAACAAATGTTTTCAATAAAAAAGATCCTTCTGGACAAAAATGTCCAGACTGTCAAAAATGTTTTGATTGAAAGTCCAGATTTGCGAATTTTCTCAGCTTGGAAATGTAATCTTCCATTTTGATAAGGCGGATTGTAAAGGAAATATAAACAAGCACGAAGAAGATTGTAGGTAGCGCAAGAATCTGTGGGCTCACTAGCGCCCTCTGCCTTGAGGCAGGCGTACTGTTTGCCTCACCGAATAACTTTTTAACTGGGTTTTATGGTTAATCTGCGAGCCTAAACACGTTACAGAACTACATTTTATACATTATCCAGATTATGGCAAGGCAGAACATATAATCAGAGTGTTTGAAAGCATTTTATTTGCGATATATAGAGGGACAGCGACACACTATTTGCATCGCATACAGTTTGTGAGGATTACACGATCCACCGAGAGGCACAGCAAAGTGCTGCCTCATCGCGCATCTCCTCCATGTATTTGAACGGGACATACGGAAATTCTGCTATTCTTTATCCTCCCCTGACCGCACGTCACTGATAGGTATGAGATGGACAATGTTTTAGGTACAAAATATCATTTAAAGCATCACAAATGTATTTTTACTGCAGGGCTGAGCTGCATTAAACTGTGCAGGTGTTGTGATATTTTGTTTACACCCTATAGATCTACACTTTGAAACCTCAGTCAAGATGACAAATAACATTAAGTGTAACAAGGGAAAATTGCTTGGCTCGAGCAGTGAAAACACATTTGTATTACCAGTCAAAAAGCAGTTTCTCCTGCAGCAGTATAAACACTGTAGGTTTAAAAAATGTGAGGAACCTGAATGACTGCTTTGTTTTTGTATCTATAATGAATTCAGGCTAATATTTAAAAAATAAATAAATAAACAAACAAACAGGTGACGTAAGCCTCATATGTCCAAAAGTTTAACTGGTGTTTTGGTTACTTTTGACTTAGAACTAGCTGTTACACCAAGTGGGTGATCCTACATCACGGCAGTATGTGTTATTCGTGGGAGTCTCACTAGTAAAGGGTTGACTCTCATGTAGTCTGGCCACCCGGTGTCAGTGGCACACATGGGTGTGAGTGTGCGTGAGTAGGGGTCACTGCTCCTGGTCCCCATCAGGACCGCTCTCAGCTCTGGCCTCCTCTCCTGCACCTCATTCAGTGCCTGTCGAATACTGCCCTCCACAGAGAACAGCTCCAGGCCATATCTACGGAAGACATGTTGCCAAATAATGACCTGCTGTGATGCAACAACGGGAGGATTAAGCCACTTTCTGACAATACAACCACCTGAACTGGTAACAAACTACCTGGCAGTGACAAAGTAAATCAGTGAAATGTATTTATTAATTAAGATTCAGCTTGGATAAATGGTGAAAGTGTGCAAATATGGATTTTCAAAACCAAAAGTAATTTAGTTGACAACTTGCCTTTTTTTTGTGTCCTGGATAAATCTCTCAATTTCCAGGAATGGAGAGACAATACGGATATACAGGGCTTTTACCTTGTCTTTACCATCTGGATACCGGCTGAGAGTGGCAGAAGTGAGAAACAGATGGAAAAAAGGTTAAATAACTATGACAGAAACAAATTACATAAGTACCTATTCTCTGTGTCTCCCATTATCTGTCCAGTACAAGTCAAGAAACATCTAAAAAGTAGTCTGTCTTGTCCAAGGTTTGTCTCAGTCTAGTTGCTGCTCTCCACCTCATTTTCTTCTTCACTTACTTCTTACTGTTACACCCCACTGTGCTGAAATGGTATCATTATGTCTGAATTTGAATCTCCCTTTATTCTCCCACCTTAGGCCATTTGTTTTGTCCTGATTAAATCATTTCTACCCCTAAATTTTCTAAATGTCTCGTCTCCCCTTCCCTGTTACCGCTTCAGCGCAGCATAGTAGAGATGAAGCAGAGCAGTGCAGTCTTTTCCCCCATTAAAGCCAATGCAGATTTCCTCTGTCGGATACTGATCCAGTGCCGTCTCTATTGTTTTCAGAGCAGACTTTACTTTGTCACCCAACGCTGTGCCTGTGGGAAATTAAATCCACAGTGAGAGAACTTTATACATGGAAAACAGTTAAATTTTGTTATGTCATATAAATTATGTAATTCAGAGTAGAAATATCTGCTGATCCTTTGTCTTATATTAGTTATTGCTGTGTAATTTTACTTTCTGTTCACTCCCTTGCCAGTTATATTGTATTATTTTTATAATCCACTATGATTTTACAGCTATAATTACTTTAATCTCTTTGCTTCCTTTATTGGCCCCAATGCCTGTGTAAAGTGTGAGAGTTCACTGCAATATTCACTTTATATTAGCTTGACAGAGTTTAACTATCATCTCCCATCTTCCTCTGCACCCAGTCACCCACTCACCACTGTCGGCCAGGGCGTACACCTCAGCAGTGGCGATGGACACCGGGTCAGTGACCAAGGGCACCACGCTGCCCTTGGGCAGCTCATCCAGCAGCTGTGCCTGGGCTTTGTCCACATCCACTTGACTGTCTGAATCCAGGACCAGCCTGACTTTGTTATAGTTACTCAGCCAGTCAGGGTAGGAGCCTAGAGCCACCTTCCGACCCCAACCAGCCTGCAGTTTGGTCAGCACAGGTGCGATCTCTGTTTCATCTGCATCCACAAACACCTAGTACAGTGATCTTTGGTTAGCTTGCTTGTCCTATGAAAACACAGTATTCAGAGTGATATTTCGTAAATGACAGGTTTGGTTTATGTGTTACCTCATGAGTGTGAAAAGTGGTCCCTGAACTAGCAAAGAGATGCTCCAGTCCATTGAAGGCCCTCTCCATATTAGACGGGATCCCAGGAAAGACATACACGTTATGTACACTGACCTGCAAACAGAGGACAAACACAACATATAGCATAAGAATATATGAGCCACAAAGTTAAATGATTCTGATTTAGGTCACTTCACTATGCAATATGAATGCATCCTAAGCTACAGTAATATCCAACGGTCCCGAGCTCACTCACCAGTGGATAGGGATGCGGCTGTCCTGTCTGAGGGTCAGTTCCATAGTTGAGTTTGGCTGAGCGAGGCACCATGGCCTGCTTCATAGCGGCAGAGTTTTTGTCCACCTGCCCAAAGAACTTTTCAACCAGCCGGATAAGCTCAGGATGGGGATACAACTCCTCTTGGAATGCCATGGCAATGCTTTCAAATGTGACATCATCATGAGTAGGGCCTATGCCCCCTGAGGTGATGAGATGTGTATACTTTGGTGAAAGGAGGGCCACCTCTTTGGCTATAACCTCCTGTATATCTGGAATGACTGTTATGCGTTGCACAGACACTCCAAGCCTCCTTAGCGCTCGCGTCAGAAAGGCACTGTTGGTGTCCACTGTGTGGCCCTGGAAGACGGGGGACGAGGAGACACTGTTAGTTTTAATCCAGTGGTCCCATCCTCACTTGGACATCACATTCAAGGACTTAACAATGGCTCCAAGGCTTTGCTTGATAAAATTCAATGAGAATATTTTAGTGGGGGGGTAGACATGACACAAAATCAAAGGCTTCATGTTTAAATCATGATGAACTCAAATCAAGAAATAATGGAAAACCTGTCATTTTAAAACTGAGCACTGTTGCCACATCAAATCACAGTGCTTTTCTCAGGATTTGAAATGTAGATCCTAGGCTGTTAGAATATATGTATTGGTAAAATCATACTTTGAAGTGCACAGATTTGTTTTGATTTTCTCAAACCCACAAACTTTCAAGGATTCTCTGTGGGATACTGCCAATCACAACTTCTTAAAATAATACAAACCACAAGTATGTATGTATCAGCACTAAATCACCTTGAGTATCTCATCTCCAATGATGAGAATGGCTGCAGTGGGAGCATCCCTACTGGCAGCAGAAGACGAATTGGAGCACTCGTAATATGTGGACATGGCTGCGTAGCTGAGATGAGCCGCCAGTGTCCTCGCACGTACCACTGCTCTACTCAGCTTGGGAAAAGCAAAGCTGGGAAACAGAGAAAAATATTCATTAAACAGTTACACCTTCTGCATTCATTTATTGTTCTTAAATCTATGTTTAGTTGAGTGTGTTGTGTAATGTAAAAGCAAAGTTAAAAAAAAATCTCTCAGTAAAAACTCATTAGCATAGTTATCTTTATTATTTTTGCTGCTTTTAAAATGACACATTGCCCCAAACAGTATAAGTAAAACATTGTTTTTAATCTTACATCAGCATGAAGAATCCATGTGGAGTTTCCCAAAATATTTCATTAAAAGCTCAGGTCCTCTTCTACTTCATAAATTGTTTCTAGTCAGGAAATATCTTTGAAGAGATACCTGAAGGAGCAGGTCTGAAAAAGAAAAAAAATGACTGATTTACAATGCAACAAAAGGAAAATCAACACATGTGAGAACCTGGAAATATCAAATGTTAAGAACTGACCAAAACAATGTATCGGTCTTCAAAGTTGTTGCAGATTATTCTTTTGCTAATTGACTAATCCATTAACTACCTACTCCGTGCAGCTCTAGTACTGTCAACAGTAAATCTGAAGAGCAGTGGCCACATACTGAATGCAGTTATGAAACGAAACCCACATGATATCGTTAAAGTACTGATAAATAATGGTACAACATGTTGACTGGTGTGTGACGACATATTCGCTGGAATTGTAGCCTAAGACATCGGTGCATAACATTCATCACGATATTTAAAGAACAGAAAGCAGGTGGACACAGAAAATAAGGAATACTTAAATATACAATTACCAATCGGGTTTGGCAACTGGAAGACGTAACTAAAGTAACTTACAGACTGTGCGGGACGTTTATCCTACAACCCACTGGGACTTATCCTGTTAATGTGCTATTCAACCTTAACCTTCAGATTGTGTGCAAAATATTGATATAAGATATTCTACACTTGTCTACACATTTTGAATTGCGTAACACTAAGTTCATCTACGTGACGAAATAAAATCATTTGCTAATTGTAGCAGGTCTCATCGCTAGTTTAACGAATCACGGGATCACTGTCAACAAGTAAGCCGTACGTTAGCATTCGAGTAGCCTACACTGACATAATACAGTCTCACCAATCCATATAATGTGAAGAAACACTCAATAATACTGTCTTTACAATTTGACAACCAACCTCATTAAAACCAAAGTAACTTACTCCTGGATCGTTTATGTCCTCGCTATGCAAGCCTAATATTAGTGACTACGCGGTACTCAAGACACGTGACATTCTCAGCCCAATCACAAATAAGAAGGGCTTTGTCGACATGAGCGACAGCCAATCAAGTTAATGAGAGTAGGACGGAGATCCGACTTTAGATACACACGGAAGTAACTAAAACACGGTGATTGTGCTACACTAAACGGCGTCACTCCTTAGCATTATATTATGTTTCGCCAAAGTAAATACGATAAGTGTTAGCTACGGGAATAATAGAGGCAACTCCTCGGTTTGCGGGTGGCCACATTGCAGTATCTATACTCGGATAGAGGAACCACTTCTTCTTCAGTCTGAATCAAAAAAGAGAAGTGTAACATGTATGCCTCTGCTGGCTGGAGGAGTCAAGTGCATGATACCAAAGGACTGTCGATATTACTCTCCTGCCCTGTGGGTGGCGCATGGTATGTCTGCAACAGACAGTCAGTAGTCTTCCGTGTGGCATGCATTGCTCTGCAAATGGATGAACTAGACTGGAGCATTGACTGGAAGGTGACTGGCTTGTCATTCACAGGATTGGCTTGATATTTTAAGATACATTACAAGTATAGAATAAAAAGTAATTGAAGTTCTGAGGGTGGCATTAAAATGAAATTAAGAAATCAATAAAGAAAACAGTCTCTTCATACAATCATGTAATATTCAACTGTTAGAACATTAAGTACAGGTAATATTTTCATGGTGCTTAACGTTAATATAAGATTTGTATTAAGTATTGCACATAGGTCTGCAATAATAATAATATGGATGCCCTTTGATTTGATTTGATTTGATTTGATTTATTCTTTTGTGCAGCCCTGCGATGGATTGGCGACCTGTCCAGGGTGTACCCCGCCTTCGCCCGATTGCCGGCCGGGATTGGCTCCGGCCCCACCCGTGACCCCGTTCAGGGATTCAGCGGTAGAAAATGAATGAATATTCTTTTGTGCCAGAAAAAGAAAAAACCTGATAAATACTGGGGGATTTGAAGAGACTAACTGTCACAAGTAAGCCATACGGTCTGAAACAGACTGTATGGCAAAGTACTACAAATATGTTCCTTTCTATAGTAATAACATCATAATAAAATGAAATTTACTACACATCCATTGATGGGTTACTGAATAGACCTATGTGGTCAAGGGGCCCCTGGTCCGTAGCCTCTGTAGTGACTAACTTGCATTTCTTGTTGTAAAGTCAATCAAATATGTGTAAAACTGTCACAAAAGGATGCAAAGTAACTTCCAAGTGACAATGTGACTCATAACTGCCACAGAGATGCGAAATAACTACAAAGAGAATCAAAACTACTACAAAGGGATGCAAAACACCCACAAAGAGATGACAACCATATAGACAACAGTAACTGCAAATATGCAGAACAATCACAAAGAGGCACAAAACAAAGCCACAACAAAGGACCTCAAGGAGACACTGATGCTGAAAGAGGTGAAAGGTATTTACACGTCTGTGCTCAGGGGTCCATTGTCCCTGCATACACCCAATAACAGCATTAAATGAATAGGCCTCCTAGAGCAGATAAAATTACAGTGAAGTAGATACTAATGTGATGCTGTTACAGAAGTGATTTTTTTTTTGGAAAAATACATTGTGGTGTTGTGGAAACTATGAGAGGAAATCAAAACTCAGTTGTTCGCATGTTGTGTTTATTTCAGGTAAATTACGCGTTGATGCATTTGGCTATCCGGAATTTCTGCTTTTGCGCAATCTGAGCGCTATGGGCCAGGTGCAAAATCGGCGCAACACACACACACACACACGCACACACTCCGCGGCCAGATGACGTTGCCATTTGTTCGCGGAAGTGGTTTCTGTTGTGACCGTGGAGGGGAGAGATAGGGGGAGGAGGAAGGGAAGGAAAGGGAGAGGAAAGAAGTTTAGACTAATCTCATATGAAGTTAATCAAAACCGCGAGTCGCCTGGCGGGCAAAACCATCGACTATTTGTCCTGTTAGATGAAATTAAGCTGAATTTTTTGCGGCTTGGTGGCCAGGAGGGGCAACTCGAGGGAAAGGGAAGCGCTGGTAAGTTGGTCGTTAAAGTTGACCACACTTTTTGGGGGGCATGGTTTAGACTGTCTGCCAGCTGCGTGTTCACAGTACAGCAGTTATTGTACATAGCACAAGTTTAAGGAAGCGGTTAACTTACTATATTTATGGTTCCTGTTGAGAAGCATTGTTCTGCCTGTGTGCAGTTGTAAAGCTGTGTTATACGAAAACGGCACAGTGGTGTAGCCTGTCGGGATACTGTAAAAATGTTCATGATTACCCTGGGTTGTGCACATATTAGTTAAATGTTTAACTTGTGTTGGGCCTCCTGTTGTCAGACGAGTTTTCTAGCTTTTGGTATTTAAGCCTTACGCCCCAGTAGCTGCCAGTTGAGCAACAACGTAGAACTGAGCTGTGTAAAAGTGTTGTATTTAGCTTAAAATAGGCTCCGATGGGAAGTCAGATGAGGAGCCCCAAGCCTAGGCTTGTTCCGTCAATGAACAGTGAATAGGACACTTAAGCCGTGTGGTTATTTATTAGATACAGATATTCTTAAACGATTAATCAGCCAATTAATCGATGAAGCAGAAGGCTTATAGACAGCTATTTTGAAAATCGGTCAACTGTTTGAGATGTTTTTCATATAAAATCCCAAACATTTGCTAGTTCACTTCCATCTTCAGTGTTTTCTGCTTTTCTATTTGTTATATGCTATTAAACTGAATATCTTGGATTGTTGGCCAAACAAAACAAGTCACTTGAGCTACCTGTGATAAAGTCCTGATGGACTTTTCACTATACATTTGAAACATAAAATAATAAATTGAAAAGACAATTATCAGATTAGTCAATAATGAAAATAATCATAAGTTGTAGCCCTGACGTCTGCTGATAGTCTAATTATCACTGAGATAAGCCATTGAGGTTATCAGTGCACACACACATATAAATCTGTTTACAATCAGACCATACACTTACAGTTATGCGTCATCATTACTTTTGTATCCATGGAAACCGATCAGCCAAACACACCTCAGATGTGTTGAAACACGGTCACTGTGACAGAGTTAAAGTTCAAGATGAGCGAGTGAAGGACAGACTCTGATTGAAACCGATTCCAGGGTATGTGGGGTGATTGAGGCGACTGAAAGCGCCAGGCTCGCTGCTTCTTATCAGGGTCAGCCACACTGCTCAGACCAGCAGCCCCTGACATGATATTATATGGTGGAAGTTATCTCAGCTGATAAAATGGAGGGGAGGAGAAGGTCCGGTCAACAAGTGATCTGAAAAATAGTAGATTCATGTCAGGAGCCAGACAAACAAGACACATGTGCACCTACACACACACACACAAGGACAATAACAACACAATCAGAAGGATAGCCCGAGGCACAATCTGTCAGTCAAAGAGGAGCATCTCGGCCTCTCTATCACACCATTGACACAATCCAACATCCACTTGATTAAAATTGGATCTGTCCAATTCTGCTCAAACTGTATCAACCACCAGTAAAAGCTTTAGTCCTGATTGACGGCACAGCATGACACTTGTGATTGTCACAGCTTCACTCTGACAGGTGTGTGCACTTGTGCACATAGCCCTACACTCACCTACATACACACAGCCACTGCAAAAACATGCTTTGATTTTTGTTAGAAGTGAATGTTAGTGCTGATATTAGCTTTGATTAGGTTATGAGATACTTGAACGTTCTGATATTTGCTAAAACACAGATGTGATGTAGTAAGGTGCTGTAAACACGTCAAGACTGTCGACAGGATGTAATGCATTTTTGTTTGTTTGTCCATGTCAGGATGTGTTTGTCTGTGTTTGGTGTGTGCACTCTATGCGAGAGCTATATGTGGGTATGTTTGTCTTTGTGTGTGTTTGTCTAGAAACGAACTGTAGGAGTTTGTTTCCGAAGTCATAGCATGTGGGTGTCCATCTCTACCTCAACACAATGGGGCCAAGTCTCAGATGCGTTTCCTCCTGTGCTGCTTGGTCAAGCACAGCATGCTCTGAGTTTAGTACTCTATGTAAACCACAGGTTGAGTTATGTCTTAAGCTGTGTGATGGTAAACCTCATAACTGCGTACAGCTTAGGTGACATTTAGAAAAAGCAGAAGTTGCAGTGCAATGGTGCCAGTGGTATGCAGTATACAGTACCAGCATGGGTCTGCTGTGCAATGTGAAATGGCTCTATGTCTTTATCGTGGTCGGTCTCTTTTTATGAAAAAAGCTGATATTGCAATTTTAAAAGTCACCTATTTTTGCAGATCACAGCTCCTCCACCCTTCTCCAGGCTAGGTAATGTGTTAGAGATTGAAGTCATTCCTCTGCCATAAAAGGTCACTTAAGGTCAAGTTAATATCAAGACACTGAAAGAATTAACAGCTGGTGAGATGGAGAGTTTTTTTTTTATTAAATTTAACTAAACAAGCAGCTTGTAACAATTTAACACGAAGTCATACAGCAACGTAATATGAAAAAGGCAGCGTATGATTTAATACATCTGGTTAGAGAATACGACAAAGCAGGGCAACTTTTTACATTTAATATGTTAATCAAAAAGTGAAGTTTGTCTGAGAACTTAAATGAAGAAGTAACACTGTCTATAGTAAATATGTTATTATTGCAAGTGGGCAGTTGTATGTGGAAAGAGGCCGAGAGTGGCAGCAGGAAGAGAATGATGGCAGGAGATAGAGATGTGGGAGTGTGTACAGAAGGGGTGGTAGAGGGGGGTTGGCACAACCCAAAATAGCCTGCTCACATGTTTGCAGTGTGCGTGGTAAGCTATGAAACCAGCAGAAGGGCCACCTCCTGAATGCCTGGCTATAATCTAATGTTCACTCTCACCAGTAATTTTTGAAAACTTGATGTCTGTATGTCTGTACGTGTGTGTTTGCACACATCTTCCAATCAGAGAGGCTGTCCCTTGGAAGGTACGCTCCCTCCCACTATTCCCTCTGCACTCATCATCCTCATCATTGTCTTTCTTGTCTCCATAATGTGAACTGATGTTAGACGGTGTTTCAAACTGGCAGTAGTCCAGCAGGGAAAAGCTCAGTGACTAGGCCTGTTTACTCATGCATGTGCACTCATATTTTGGTCTAGGGTATATAGGGGGGTGAATGAGGTGGGTCAAGTCACACGCACACATAGACTTGGAGTACAAGAGCAGACAGCAGTGTGTACATCAGATCTCTGTTTCTGTCCATCTCTCTTTGTTCCAACTGATGAATTCACACTGGGCAAGCTGAGACACAAAC